CCCAAAAAGGGGTTAAAATTATAATTTGGATTTTAAGCCCAACTTTTATGTCATCTCGTAGGAAATATTTTTGTGATCGCGTCGGTTCAGACGGCTCGCGAATCGGAGTTATGGAGCTCATGTTATGACCATTTAATCAGGTATTTTGGGTCCGAAGCCCAATCCTTTTTGGAATGGGACCATTAAATAAACCTAAACCACACAAACCTTATCTTATCTTCTCCTTCTTCGATTCTACTCTTCGTTCGTTCTTCTTCTTCTCCTTTCTTCTTCGATCGCCGCAAGAAGTCCGCTGCCATCATCGTCGCAGCCAATCGCCGCAGCCAATCGCCTTTCCCAGCCAACTGCGACCTTACCGTCGCCGGAAGCCAATCGCTGCCCATCCTTCGCCGGAAGTCCGTCGCCTCCACTGCCAGCGCCGGTCGCTCATCGCCGCCGTCGATTGCAGCGCCGCCGAGTTGAAGCGCCGCCGCTGCTTCCTTCGCCAGTAGCCGCCGCTCAGCGTCGCCGAGCCTCCAGCCGCCGTCGCCGAGCTTCCTGCTGCTGCTTCGCCTTCGCCGGAATCGAGCGCCGCCGTCGCCCTTTGCACAGCGGCCATCCTCGCCGTCGAGTGCAACGCCGCTGTTTCGCCTTCGTCGGTCGTCCGCCGCCGTCGATTGCAACGCCGCCAGTCGCTGCTCATCGCCAGCGTCCGTCACCGTTGTCGCATCCGGCCGCTACCCCGAGTTGATATCGCCGGAAGATTAACCTCCACGCCGGATTGATTGGTCGATTTCGTATTTTGACTCGATTTTACCCGTTCGGTTGATTTCGTGGATTTGTCTTCCGTTCGAGCTATCGATTCGATTTCGGCGTAATCCAGGTCCGTACTATGAAGTTAATAGCATTCAGAATAGATTTAATGGTTTGGATCGTTATATGTGTTTATGCTATAATTTGGCTAAATTGGTTAATTGAATTAAATTGATTGTTTGAATTGAATTGTTGAGGATTGTGAATTGACTGAACAGGTTT